CTTGTGTGCTTGCTGGAGAGAGACAGAGATAGAGGGAGGGAAAATGAGAAATCACCCCCTAGGGGGGATGGTCACACTCCGATCCCTTCTCTTCAATTCTTCTCTCAGGATCTTGGGCACGCATGCACACACACCCAGCGTGAGTTTTAAGTTGCCAGATCTGGGACTCGAACCACAGTCGATTATGTGGAAGTCCAGTGATGTAACTATTATGCCGTCTGCTGGTCCCCATGATTGTATCTTAATAGTTCAACTATTTTGAATTTTAGGCTTAAATATTGGAAATTCAAACCAAAGAAGTGTTATGAGATGTGAACATACATAAAGATAAAAGCATAAATATTCAATAAAGTGACTTATCACTATTTATTAAGTAAATTCAAAATAAAATGACTACAACCTTTGTCAGACAGACAATATTTAAAATAAAAACATCAAGATACAACAATAATGATTAGGAATCTTAACATTTTAGAAGGGAAGAATTTATATTTATTCATTTTTAACATTGACTTATTCATCTATTTATTTGTTGTGATTTTTCAAGCTGCCAGGTCCAGGACTCGAACTGTGGTCAACCATGTGGAAATCCAGTGCCTTAATCACCATGCTACCTGCTGGCCCTTATTATTATTTCTCTCTAGGTTTTTGCCATAGGTGCATGCACTCACCAGAGAGAACTAGAGAGAGCCAGAGAGAGGGAAAATGAGAAATCACCCCCTGGCAAGGATGGGGAAATGGAAATTTCTCCTCAGCACTGTCTCTGCAGTTGTATTTTGGGAGCATATAATTTGTTTTGAATTCACAGGCTCATGGTTGGAAGGCATTTGACTGAGTCTCAGGTGAGACTTTGAACTTTTGAGTTGATGCTGAACAAATTAATCTGGGACCGTCATCATGGGATGACTGTATTTAATATACAAGAAAGATAGTGTAATAAGAGAGTGGGAAAGGGCAGAGGGTCAGACATGGGGTAAAATGGATATATTTACATATGTATATGAAAGTAGAAATGGAATATTATGGATGATAACATGCATGATTAAGCCACTATGCAGTTTATTCTACATGGGAAACCACATTTAGTATGTTGTGATGATGCTCAGGGAATGAATGTAAATTAATTGAAAAAAAAAAAAGTTTCAGGAGAAAAAAACCACTAAAACTGTTCTTATCGAAATTTTTAAAAAATGCATATTTGATGACTGCAGTAAGCTTTATAGCCCCAGCTAGGTACTCCTTTATAGTATGTTCATTCTACTCACTGAGTTTTGTGCCTAAAGTCAGACTTGGTTCATGTATAGGTATATATCAGCTGCACTTGTTATTGGAAATATTTAGACTAAGTTCACTAGCAAATCAATTGTATGTTGATGTGCTTGATTGAGCCAATATATAGTGTATTCTGGATGGAAAATTCATTTTGTATGTTGTAATGATGTATAGTGAATTAAAGTAAAAAAAAATACATTTAAATTAAATATATATATATATACAAAAAAGACATGGGCCTTGGGGCCAGGGGTAGAAGGGTACCATTTGGAGAATGGTTTGTGCCCCAAAAATTCATGTCTAGGAATGTGACGTCAGGAGGTGGTGACGCCGAGAGGCTGGTGACTGCTCGCAGTGAGTGCGTTACTGACGCATCGCTCGCATGAGTAGATGAACCGTGTCACCTGGACCGTGAATTCTAGCTCTTGTGAAAGGTGAGTTCTCACGAGAGCTGATCGTTTCAGAAGAGAACTGCTCTCAGCTGCATTCTCTGCACCTGCTGCCAGCCGGCGCCCCTCTGTTGGCCAGGGTGGGCTGACTTGATGGCCTGCCTGCTTTGGGGGACTTTGCTGGGGCCAGAATTATGAGTTAATAAACCCCTATTTCTTTACTAAAAATAAGTAAATAAATACATGTCGATTAATACGTTAATAATAGCAATCGATATCAAGACCATATAATTAACACGTCGTTTATATCTGAACTCAGTCCAAGATCTCGAGGTCTATGTAGGATCTCATGAAACTGAATCAAGTCGCTATTATAGAACGTTCAGATCACTACTGATATCAAAAGATGGCCAGCGACTTAATTCTAGGGAATCTACATAGATTGTGCAAAACGAAGCAATAATTCTAAATAGGCTTTAATATTGTGAAGACTACTATAACTGAAGTTTTAATTTTACCAGAAGGTTCGGCAGTAGATTTAAACTGAAAGAAGGAAGAATCAGCAAATTGATGATAAAGACTGCAATTTGAAGAACAGAGAAGAAAGAAAAAACAGAAGCTCAGAGAAATGTGAGATGCCTTTGGTGGGAGAAGAGAAGAAATAAATAGAAAAATATTTTTTTAAAAAAATTGTCCCTGGAGGATCAGCAGATGGAGTAATGGTTAAATCACTGGACTCCCACATATTCGACTGCTTCGAGTCCTGACCTCGGTGGCTTATAACTCATTTGGTGCACGTGCAGACGTGCGTGCC